TATTTTTATGACATACTTATCTATTGTCGGACGATGGAGAAACATTCGGACACGTGCGTGAGGTCCTACTTATTCTTAGAGCAGAGTTTCACTATGCGGCACCCCAGAAGTGCTTCTTTCTGGTTGATTTGGTTCTATTTCTGGGGTTTGTTGACTCAACCACCGGCATTCAGGTCGATGACAGTGAGGTCACGACGATATAGGACTGGCTGACACTATCCTTGATCGCGGAGGCTCGAAGCTTTCATGGCCTCGCTTCATTCTATAGGCGTTTTATTTCTCATTTCAGCTCTATTATGACACCTATCACGGATTGTCTCGCAGGGAAGTCATTCGTGTTGACTCCACAGATGGTCGAGGCTTTTGAGTTGATCAAGCGACGACTTACTTTCGCTCCAATCTTAGTGTTTTCTGACTTCTCGTGACCTTCCAAGCTTTCTTGTGATGCTTCCAAGGTCGGTATTGGCGTTGTCCTGAGCCAAGACGCATGTCTAGTTGCATACTTCAGCGAGAATATTTCTGGTCCTCGGCTTCGTTATAGCACGTACGACATTAAGTTTCATGTCGTCTTCCGGGCAATCCGTTATTGGCGACACTATCTTTTTCAGCGGGAGTTTGTGCTATATTCTGATCATGAGGCGTTGCGACATATTACTTCTCAGGACAACATCTCTGCACACCATGTCACGTGGACTTCTTACTTATAGCAGTTCACGTTCGTGTTGAAGCACCGGTCGGGGGCTTCGAATCGTGTGGCCAACGCCCTCAGCTGTCATTCTATGTTGTTATTAGATATGCGTATTTCAGTGGAGGGCTTTTACATTCAACAAGATCTCTATGTATCATACGTGTTCTGCGGCGCGATCATTGCACGCTTGGCGACGGGTCCTTTCGAGGATTTTATTCTTGCTGATGGTTTCCTTTTCTAAGGCGTGCGATTGTGTATCCCAGAGTGCAGTTTGCGCTTCAAGTTGGTGGTCAAGCTGCATGGTGATGGTCACGTGGGTCGTGATAGATCAGTCGAGTTGGTTCAACGATCCTACTTTTTACGTCACAGACGTTTCCTGATTTGTTGCACGTTGTTGGATATGCCAAATGTCCAAGGGAAGTGCGACTAACGCTGGTCTTTATTGCCCATTGTTGATTCCATGTACTGTTGTGAGCATGGACTTCGTCCTTGGTTTGCCACGCACGCAGCGGGGCCATGATTCTATTTTGGTGGTTGACACCCTTTTGAAGTTGGTGCATTTTATTCCGTGCCAACGAACAACCGATGCCCTCCACGTAGCTAAGTTATTTTTTCGAAAGGTGTACCGTTGGCCTTCCATCTTCTATAGCTTTCGACTACCACACACAGTTTTTTAGCCATTTTTGGCGGAGTCTGTGGTGTCTCGCTAACACTCGACTGATTTCAGTAGCGCATATCATCCGCAGACAGACGGTCAGACCGAGGCCATCAATCGTTCTCTCAGGAACCTCCTGCGTTGTTTGGTTAGTGAGAACTTGCGCAGTTGGGATGCGAGGCTTAGTCAGGTAGAGTTTGCCCACAATTCAACCGTTAGTCGAGCTACTCATCTTTCTCCTTTCCAGATGGTTTATGCAGTTCAGCCTCCTGGTTCGTCGGATTTATTATCCTTGTCGTCTTCTGAGCAGTCTGATCAATGGGCCAAGGACTTTATTGCGGCTTTACAGCAGACGCATGCTTTTACACGGATTTGTCTTAAGAAGGTGGTTGTCGACTACAAGCGTCGTGCGGATGCTCGTTGTCGGCACATTGATTTTGTAGTTGGCGACTATGCCTGGGTTGTGTTGACTGGTGATCATGTTTCAGCTCACGACTATAATAAGTTGTCGGATAAGAAAATTGGTCCGGTTGAGATCATTCAGACGATAAATCTGAATGCGTTTCGTCTCCGTCTCGCGTCCCACATTCGTATGTCTGACATTTTCAACGTTGTTTGTCCCATTTTTGTTATATTTTTCTTTGTTTATTTGCTAGTTTTTACCCCCGTTTTTAGTAGCTTTTTAGTTCTTTTGGTCCACCAGTCGTTCGTTTCACTTGTGTGCCGTTTATTTCTCGTTTTTCGATATTTTCTATTATTTTGCTTGTTTTTTGCTTGTTCTTCTTGTCTTCGGTGGTGTGCAGGTTCAGGTTATTCAGCACGTATTTAGAGAACGAAGAATCCGAGCAGTTGTGTCCCGTCCCACAACACGAATTAGCCCGAGTCCATCGAGTTTCCGTACACCGCGCCGCGGCGAGGCCCACGCCGCAGCAGACCCGGCTTCGCGCCGCGAGTGCGCCCCGTAAGGGATAGAAAACAACTTCTCTGGCCTCGCGCCGTGGCATGCGTCGCGCCGCGGCGACACAACATACTTCGCGCCGCGGGAGCCCCACATCATGGACAGAGGAAGCTTTTCAGGCACCACGCCGCGGCGATCCATCGCGCCGCGACAAGTTTCATTCCTCGCGTCGCGGCGCCCCCACGTCTCGGACAGAAGCTCCTTTTTCTGGCACCGCGCCGCGGCAAGCATCGTGCCGCGGTGAAACTTCACCAACACGCCGTGAGGGTGCCGCGTCCCGAACTGCTGCTCAGCTCTTCCCAGGCGTCACGCCGCGGCAAGCATCGCGCCGCGGCAAACCTCTCCACCACGCCGTGTTCATGCTGCGAGATTCCATCTGCCGCGCCGCGGCGCCGGAATGCTCAAAACCCAGAACCATTTTTTTTTACGAGATTTGTTAGTGGAAATAAAAGAATATGGATCGGGCAAAAATTATCATTCCGTACTTGTTATTTTTTTTGAACTCTCACTTGAAAAAGAACTTTTTTTCTTTTTTCTTCTCTTCTGTTTGGATTCAATCTTGAAGGTGAAAAACCTCAAGATTTCGTCTTCTGATTTAGCTTTCAGATTTGGATTGCTCTTTGTTTTCGACATGGTTTTCTTATTAATCGTAAGCATTTTTTCTCATCTAATTATGATGATTTGTGCTTGGGCTGCTATGTATTCTTATGTTGAAATTGCAATGAGTGGCTAATTCCAATAGCTAGGGTTAGGGGATAATCGTTCCGGTTCGATTTCATTTATGTGTTTGATTAATTGCTCAATCTTTTCGCGTTGTGCTTAACCTAGGGTTTCGATGTTTGATCACCATCTTAATCTAATTAATCGATTTTGAAACCGAAAGGGGAGAAATCATTCGACCTAGGCTCGTTATGAATAGACTTGTTCGGTAACGTATTGTCTATATGCTAATTGATTCGTTATGGATTTGTTTACGTTTATTCTCTTGTTTCCTGAGATATTGAGAATGAACCTCTAGATGAGTTAGTTCTTGAGTCCTTTAGTTGAGTAATTGATTATTCATTAATTGTTTTGAGAACCGGAAGCGATATCCCCGATACCCTAGCCCCTTTATCAATATTTGAGTTTAAACTTTAAATTGCAAGTTTGAAATCGCTAGCTTGTTCTTATTATTCGTAGTAGATAATCAAAAATCCCAAATTTGAATTAGAGTGTTTAGGACTTCTTTACTATTTCGTGTGATTGAATATACGTACAAAATAATCCGGCTAACCTTCCTCGTGATACGACTCGGTGTCGAAACTTTCGATTCTACTCCGGTAAAAATATTTACAACAAATTGGCACCGTTGTCGGGGAAGGTTTAGGACTTATTTTGTGCGCCTATTCATTTTGTTTTCAGTGTTTCTCTTGTTTTCGTGATTTCTTGATTTTTGTGTTTCTATTGTTTACTTCTTTGTCTAGTTGTAGAGATTTTCTTTAATTTGTTTTTCCTTGTTCTTTCTCTCGTCTATCTGGTGCCCGTTACGTTTTGTTGTTTGTGTTTATGCGTACCAGGAGTGGTCGCGTAATCATCCCAAACGACGAATCTATCCAGTAGGACCTACAAGACTTGTTGGCTAGTCTCGCTCCAGAGTCATCTGCATCAGAAATCCAGACAGACATGGCACAAAACGAGCAAGACGATGAAGTTAATAATCCTCCTAGGTCTCTTCTTCGCGATTTGGCCCAACCAGTGATTGGGCTAGTGACGTCGTGTATCAGACTAGGGACGGCAGCTCGAAACTATGAGCTCAAAACCATCCACTACAACCAACTTCCATCCTTCCATGGCCTACCTAACGAAGATCCGCTCCACTTTATACGAGAATTCTACAATGTGCTCCAAACCTTTCCACTTCACGGGCTGAACAAGGATCAATTGAAAATGAGGTGCTTTCTGGAGACTCTCAAGGACCGGGCTAAGGCTTGGTTTATGACACTTGCTCCAGATTCTCTTACCACTTGGGAGCAAGTGTACTTAAGACCTTGGGCAGACCAAATGAGCTGCAATGGAAGTATCATCCTTTAGCCGTAGGCCTTTCATCGTGACCCCGGAAGAGCATCCGCTTTTCGGAGGTCATCAGCGTATAGCTACAGAGCAAGGAGCTGCGGGCAGGGCTAGTCAAGGTAACGCGTGTAAGAGGCTTTAATCGGCCTGAGGACAGCTTTCGATGGCTGTCTGAACACAACATCCTTATGCATCCATTTCACATCATCGGGAGGTACTACTCCCCCCAGAAAACTCAAGAGCTAAGGTCCCAAATTGTCTCGTTTGCCCAACAACCGCACGAGCCACTTCACGAAGCGTGGGAACGCTTCAAGGACCTACAGAGGCAGTGCCCACATCACAATCTTCCTCCAGCC